CTTCTCTAAGTGGATAGAAGCCGAGCCCTTAGCCACGATCACATCTCAGCAGTGTGCTCGGTTCCTTTGGCGCAATGTCGTTTCCCGTTTTGGCGTGCCCGTACATCTTATCAGCGATAACGGTCGCCAATTTGTGAGCCAATATTTTCAGAATTTCCTGGCCACGATCGGGACGACTCATGTCCGGTCGTCTGTCGCTTACCCGCAGGGAAATGGACAAGTGGAAAATGCTAACCGGACGATATTGGAAGGTCTGAAAAAGAAGTTACACTCGGCCGGTCGTAGTTGGGCCGATGAGTTGCCATATGTCTTATGGACTTATCGGACGACCCCGAGGGAAGCTACTTTGGAGACCCCTTTCGCCCTGGTTTACGGAGCTGAAGCCCGACTACCGATCGAGGCTTGGATCCCGACCGATCGAGAGAGAACCTACAACGCGGAGGACAATGAACACGCCATGGCTGTGGACCTCGATGTGGTCGAAGAAAAAAGGGAGCTAGCCGCTCGGCGTATGGCCGAGTACCAGAAGCGCGTCAAGAGCTCGAAGGACGTTCGGGTCAACCCTCGTTATTTTCAAGTCGGGGATTATGTCTTACGACGAAGGGAGGCCAGTCAACCTTTAGAAGGGGGAAAGCTAGCTCAGAACTGGGAAGGGCCGTACATCATCAACGCTGTCATCCGGCCGGGAACATACCGACTAGAGACAACGACGGGTCGGCTAATAAAGGGGACTTGGAATTCCGAGCACCTCGTTCTTTTTAGGCATTAGCCTATTTTTTGTAATTTTAGACGAAGTGGGGGCTGGACCTGCGAGTTAGTCCCGGTCGTCGTTTCTATGTAAATTTTATGATTGTAAAATTAGTTCAACCGCCTGCGAGCGGGAAAGTTTAATGTATATACGATCAATGATTGCTCGACCGTTTGTATGCGGCGGCACGATCGGTTATTTCCTTTCACCCTCGTCATGAGCAGATCATTTCAACATTCAATCGATCGGGCGAAGTCTGTCGACCGGTCAAAACGCGCTCCACATAGGCGGACACTCAAGTCACGCCACCGATCGGGGAAGCCAGGAGCTCTCGGCATTGTTCCCCGATCCGTCCAACTTCTGTCCACTATCGCACCCACTCGTGCCTCGAGCGCACAATAGTGTGGGGGCTGGGATAAGGAAGTATGGTACAAGGCCCGTCGCTCGGTTACATTCCGACCGTAGAGGCTTGAAAATTTTTTCGGCGAAGGCCTGGAGATCGAATAAACCCGATCGTTTGGCCAGTTTTGAAGTCGAAACATCGAACGCACGACCAGGCCGTGAGGTCGTGAGGTTGGGCGTTGAGTGGATCGAGTATCGCGAGACCGGGCCTAAAGGCCAAGTGGTCGAGTGATTATGATCAATGTGTGCAAATGGAGAAGCAAGAAAATAAAAAACGAGCGACATAAGATGGAGCAAAAATGAATTTTATTAATCAACAAAAGATGCCCGGTACAATGCGGGACCGGGCTCCCGATCAGTCAGCGTTGCAAAAAGGGGAGACAAGCCTAGCTTACTTCTTCGCTTCCCGAGCTCCGGCAGCTGCTTCCTTCCCGCTCGAAGGGGCCGCCGACGATGCCCCGGGCTGGGAAGCCTTGGCTTTTGGGTCAAAGGGAGAAGGGCCGGGATCGGCTAGATCGGGGGGCAAGACCGAGAGGACCAGCTGAAGGTCCTCCCCCTCTAAAGCTTGCTCCAGCCGGGTACGGACCCGCTCGAGCATCTTCCGCTTCCCGGCCATGAAACCCCAGCGGCCGAACGAGACGATCAGCTCTTCACCAATCGCCGTTCCCCGGGCTTCAGTGAGGAAGGCCGAACCCCGGTCCTTGTCCTTGAAAGCGGCCCGCGCCAGCTCGCCCGGGTTCTCGAGCTGAGCCTTCAGCTCCCGGGCCTCCCCAATCGCCCGGCTGGCGACCTTCTCGGCCAGCACCCGCTCCTCGTCACCCTTCTTCAGGGCCTTCTGCGTTTTCTCCAGCTCAGCCTGGAGTTCCTTGATCTCCTTTAGACGACGAGCAGCCGTCTTCTTGTGGTGATCGGCCTCCTCGGCCAGCAAAGCTTGACCCTGAAGAAGTTGGGTCGCCCGGGAGATCTGCAACACAAAGAAGATAGTCAAAGTTAGCCCGATCAACGATATTTGGGCAAAGAAAGATTAAAAGTTGGGACTCACCTCGGCCAGATCGTGGCCAATCCGTTCAGCCACCTGGGTCGGGGTCATCTTCCCCAAATCCGCTCGGGCTGGCGCGGCATTACCGATCCGTGCCAGCACGGATGTAGGCTCCCTCTCCCGCCCGGCCGAAGGGGTCGGGCTGTGCTGCTCACGGCGGCGCTTCAGGCCGCCCGCCTCGGTCGCGCCCTGGTCGGCGACCTTTTCCTTTGCCCGGGCGACCTCCACCCGAGTGACCAGGACGTCCGGCTGCTCCACGATGAAGCCCTCGCCCGTCGACACGGTCGAGGCGCTCAGAGGTCGGGCAGATGGGATCTCCTTCTCCCCGGCCGCCTTGGTCTTGGCCTTCTTCTTCCCGCCGAGCGAGATCTTGACGGGTGGGGGAAGGGCGGTGTCTTCGTCACCAAACTCGGCCATAGCTGCAAAACAAGAGCAGAGTTAGTTTGTTCAAAAATAGAGCTAGGTCGGGAAGAACAGCTCGAGCTAAACCTTTCTTCTTTCGTTTCGAAGGCTTGGCGACCGTCACGCCCATCGGAACGGGCAGATACTTCTCCGGCAGCTCGTACGTGGGGGGCGGGAGCATGGCAGCTGCGAGACTTTCAGCCGTCCGGTAGATTGTATATTCGTGCACCTCGCTCGAGATCCGGCTGACCGCGTCCCTCAGCGCTTGCGTCTCGGCCGGCACCACTTGCTTTCTGAAATGTGTGCTCCAGACGCGATCGACCGGGAAGATCCAGGGCTCGTACTTGAGGGAGAAAATCCTGTTTTTCCACCCCTTGTTGTTCCCGGGCAAGCCTCTGATCGAGCACATGTCCGTTCGGGATTGCAACATCAGGAACCCACCCCCGTAGCGGCCCGGGAGAACCTTGATCTGATAGATGAAGTTAAACAACTCCATCGTGCACTCGGCCCCGTGCCGAGCGCATATCTGTGGGAAGCAGGCCAGGATCCGATGTGCGTTCGGACAGATCTGGGCCGGGACGACCCGGTAGTAGGCCAGGAAGGCGTTCAGGAGGGGGGTGAAGGGAATGGCGATCGGGGCCATCAGGGAGTCGTAGTGCATCCCGATCCACTTGCCCCGATGCCTATCAATCACGTTTCCCAGCTGCCGGCTCGTGTCGAATTCTGCCCGACCCCGGAGTACCTCGGCAATCCGAGCCGCCTCGCCCTTGGACAGCAAGCTCATCTCTTGCTCGACGCTTTCGCTGTTCAAAAATTCAAGCTCGACGGCTGGTACGGCCGGCCCGGCCGGGTCTTCTTCGGTCTGTTCGGGGGTATTTTCTCGATCACCCCCTCGAAGAGCAGCTTCCGGGTGGTCCCCAACCACCCGGGTGGGCGTTTCCCTAACGCCCTCGGTTGGAGAACCTCGCCCGCTTGACGTGGTCCTCTCTTCCTCTTCTTCGCTGGAGCTCCCCGATCCGCTTGAACTTGAGCTTGACGATCCAGAGGAGCTTGATGCGTTGTCTCGCTCGGCGGCTTGCTCGGGGGCTGGCGTCGCTCGGGGGCTGGCGTCAGGGGTGTAGGACATGATGTCCACCTCCTCGTCGCTGATGTGCTCGACCACCTCGTCGTAATCAGCAATCGAGGCGTTTTGACTGTCTGAGTCCGTCATATCGATCTACCTAAAGGTCGGTCGGAGTTAGTAGGGACTTGAGACGTCCGGGACAGTTAGTTGACCTAACAGTTCTACCTATAAATGAGAGCCTAAAGTAAAGAGGAGGGTTGAGAGCTTACCGATTGGAGGAAGATTGAAGTTTGAAGCTTGAGAGATTGAAGTTTGCTTGCTCGACTGCCTTGCTAAGCTGCTCTGCTCGGGACTCTCTGAGGGTACCGACTGATGCGAAAGAGTGAGGAAAGTTCAAATGAGGGCCTCAAGGGCCTATTTATAGGAGGACATTTAGGCGGGAAAATGGGCCAACTTGCCTGACACGACCCGCGCTGAATCCAAGGCGACGGATGGGATCGCCTAGGCCGGCAGAGGCCGACACGTGGCGTAGGGGGAATGACAGCTGGCCGGTCGGTCTAATGCCTGACGGTTGGGCTTCTTCATCCCGTCCCGTTTTTTCCCGACTGATCAAAAAGGCCCGGGCTGGGGGGCTCTTGGTAGGGAATATCCCGACCGACATAGCTTCACCACGACCGAGAGGTCTTTGTCCTTTTGTCTATGTCTTTGCAGGTAACAGGTCGGGCTCCTTGAGGAGAACCCGGTCGGGGACCGACAGGGAGTTGCCCGAGCGATGCTATGAACCCCGAGCGGTGGTCCTTCGGCGAGAGAGCTGGCTAAAGACACGTGGCGGCTTTCTACGACGACAGGCAGGGCACCCGGGAGGAGGACGCGTGGAGGCTACGTGGAGAGCATGCCGAACGGCCGGAAGCTTGTCTCCGGCACAGCGGCTATAAATGCCCACAGTAGCTGCAGTGTAGAGGACTTTTGGACGATCGATAGGTTGTTATTAGAGGATCCCGACCGCACTTAGTCGGTACTCAGAGCAACCAAGTAGATTGTACTTAGGAACTCTACCTTGATCAATAAAGACTTTACTTGCTTTAATTGGTCTTGTGTTATTTGTATTGCTTACGTAGAATTAGCAGTATCAATAATAAAGTACTTGTATTTTGTCCAATTATTCTCTCGATACTTCATTATTTTAACAGTGGTGTTGGTCTATTGTTGATTACCTATTAATCGTAAAATCAACATATACAATGACTTTATTGAGTATGTAAAAGCAAATGATTAGAGAAATTTGCCAACACTATTTAAAAGTATGCGTTAACTAAATTCTCTCTTGTGTAATAATCATCAAGCGATAATGTTTAAATAGATGGCAATCTTATTGCAAAGCCTCAAGCAGGCCAATTCCATTACATTTGCTTAGTGGTTAGATAGGTTGCAACGGCATTCATGATGCCAACAAAAGTTTGAATACTCACAAATGAAGCATTGGCAGCTGATTCCTCCTTCACTTCATACTCAATTGTAGTTTTGGTGATGCATGTGCTTTCGTCTTTCTCTGTAATTTCAAACCGAACCCGAAACAGAGTGAACCCTAGATTCAGGTATCCGCCTTCAATCACCTCCGTTTCTTTCACTCGCTTCTCATCGTCAATGACCGTGAATTTCTCCTTGGAATATGTAAACACCGGCGTGGTCGCCGGAAAAGTCAGCTTCAGAATTGTTCCGGCGCCACCGTCGCCTTCCACTACCTCAAACTTCTCAACCAAGTCAGGACGCATCTCGACCACAAGTTTCGCCAGTTGCAGAGTAGAATACACCTTCCATGCCTCGGCCGCCGGCGCCTTTACTTCCATCTCGTCGGAAACTGCTCCGAACACCATTTTTTTTCAAGGAAGAAGCAAAGCGGAAATTTTACAGGCGGAGATTTTTGGCTGAGGATTCAATACGACTCAAAAATGTAAACTTATACAGGTAGGAATAACACATACAGACGGCATCTGCCGCCGAGAATATATTTTCAATGATTCCAATTAAGTACCAATCAGTCACTAAAAACAATGAATGTTACATTGTAACAATCAATATTTATTATTTAAACATGAACCACTATACTATTTTAATGATTTCTTAAAATAATATGATGTTGGCAATAGTAGTCCCTGTACTCTTATGATGCTTTGGAATCATTAAGCCCTCCATCATTATTATCACTTTTATATTGCTATAATACAATTCAGTCAAGATATATACTCAGTAATATCTAACTAAAAGAAGTGACCAAGTAATTAGAACATGATTATTATATTAGAAGATTATGAGTTTGATTCTTGGCAACACCTAACCTTTTGATTGAGTCAATTATACGTAGTCTACCTTAGTGTGGTTTACCTCTCTTGTTTGTAAGCTATTATATAGAAGAATGGTCTACTCAGTATACACCATCTGATAGTTATTGCGGATTTGATTTTCACTAAAAAAAAAGATGGTTTAACAATGTACACCATCTTGGCAACACCATTTTCTTTTCTTTAGGAAGTGGCAAAGCGGAAATTTTACAGACGGATCGGAGATTTTGGCTGAGCATTCAATACGACTCAAAAATGTAAACTTATACAGGTAGGAATAGCACATACTCTGCCGGCAGAGAATTTAGTTTTGATGATTCCAAGGACCAACCAGTCACTAAAAACAACAAATGTCATTGTCACAATCAATATTATTTAAAGCTCAAAGCAAGTTCAATAGTTGTGATTTTTATGAGGTTTTTGTCATATATTCATATAAGGGAGAGAGAGGAGGGGAGAGGAAAAAATGGGAAAAAGAAAAGCCTGAGAATAAAAAATTAAAAAAGATGCTATTTATGAGCCTAAGTGTGCTTCTTAAAACCCCAAAAAATTTAAAAAGATGCTATTTATGCGCCTAATTGTGCTTCTTAAAACCCTTAGCAAAACCCGGTTGCTTAGTGATTAAAGCTTTGCCTTGACAATGACATGGCATCTATATCTAATACTCCATATATTTTCAAAAATCATATAATGTCCCAATATTTCACCAAAATTTAATTTTCTATGTACATAACTCTTTAATTTAAGAGAAAGCTCACAATTACTACTCAAAACTATATTTTGAATGAGTCCCGCTTTGTCACAAGGAAATAATCAACCTAAGTTGCCTATAATTAACTAGTTCAAACTAAAAAAAGACTTGACTTAAATTGCCTCTCAAACTAAAAAGGTCAATTAATAATTAAACTTAAAACCTTATAACTGTCCAATCACTTTAGCTCAAGGTATCTAGCTACATAATGTTATCGGTGATGGAAAAGAACTATAGTATATGTACTATGTAGACTGCAAACGACCTGAATTTCAAACAGGGATAACAGTAGCAAAATACAAGTTCAAAACTACGCGAGTAAAGCTTGTAGACTAGACTTTTAATTCATTAATACATACATTTTGTTACTTGTTCGAGTACATCACGAGCATATAGACACGTCTCACAATTGTGAACATAAGAGAATGCTCACATTAACAGAAAATGATGAGACATGCACTTGCCAGTAGCCACTTCCTACATGGCTGCATCAACTGCCCTCGGCTTTCTCCAAAGCTGTACACAATGATGAAAAAGAGTCCACATTAGTCGGAACCAGTGAAACACAAAAGCCAGAGTCTCCAACTACAAACTAAACTTCATATTCACATTCAAATTGTTCGCCCTAAATGAAACTGAAGATCAGAGCCTGCAGATGAAAAGGGTTCTTTCTTTTCTTGATGAAAACTTATTGCATTACCCCTTCTTTTTTCCTTTTAAAGTAATAAATTTAAACAGTTAAATGCAACAAGTAGATAGTAAATCACGCAGTAAGAACTAAATTTGTCAAACAAGCAATCATGAAATGAAATCCATCAGTAATTAAAAAAGGACCACGATGCATGGTGCAACAAGACATTATGCACATGTTCTTTCTATGTGTGTGTCAAAGCTTAATAGTAACAAATTCCAGAAGCTTTCAGAAATCTAGGCACCTGCACAACTGCCATGTCAGCTGGTTAGAGCTGCCAGATGAACCTATACAAGGCTTATGCCAGTGTGCTATATCATTAACTTCCACTCCGAATTCTTCAATTTCAATCAATAGTACTCTAATTTCTTTTTCTTGCTCATCTAAATTCCACCAAGGTATAAGAAGAGCATATTGCTCAACTTCCTCCTTTGGAAGCATTTGCCTCCTTCATCCTCAACTGCAGGATCAATCTATCCAGCTAATTCAATCAACCTTACTACCTATACATCGTCCAATTTTGGATGGAACAAACTATCATCCATGGATCTGAATCATGAAAATTGTATTATTGTTTTCATGGATCACTTATGTACAGCTAAGCCAGGCTTGTGCTATTACTAATTCCTGTCTTGAGATGATTGATGTCAATATTTGGGAGTTGGGAACCATATCCCGCCATATATATGGCTTACGCGTGTATACTATAACATTGATTCACTTTCAATCAATAATAATACTCTTCCTTCATAATGTTCATTCAAAATCCAACCATGTGTGTTGTGTGAGCAAAGTAAGGTAAGAATGGAGCATTACTGTTGTAGTTCAGAAGCTTCTCAATAAGATCAACATGAGTCATAAGCATTCTTCGACAGCAATACCGAACCAAACCCAACGCATCAAGAGCATCCCTGTAGACAAAAATATCATATTGTTTATGGCACCAAACCCAACGCATCAAAATAATGAATGCCAGTATACCAAATATCAAAATTGAAATATGATGTTTTATTTCATAAACCTATCAATAGTTCAATACTACAGTATAAACAATAAGCAAAAAGCTGATAATGCAATACAACAACTCATAGGCAAAACACCTTAAACTTATGCACTCCAAATTGCGGAAACATTTCAGACACAGGGTTCTCTTCTAATAAAACAATTTTCAGGTTGTTCCCCAAATTAATGAACCTAGACAGTAGAAACCTAGTTTCTCATCTTTCCAAAAACAGACATGAACTGATAAAAAATGATCAACAGACAACCCAAGCGATGCAGAGTTGTTTCCAATCCTACCACCAAATATCAAATATGGGAAGCAAAAACATCTAAATGCACAAAACAATAACCTCATTCTCCTAGAGGTAAACAATTAAACAAGCATTTGATGAATGACAGAGACCTAAACAGAATACGCGGGATCCGCAGCTTACCCTTCGGTGTAATCAGCTTGGAGAAGATCAAGGTACTCGTCCCATTTGTTTCCGATGACCTGAAAACAATTAATTGCAGAAAATCAGAGCGATGCAAAAGTAGGAAACTTCTTTTCTCCGAAAGTAACAAAAACTGCCGAAATTTGCAGTATAAAAGAAATAAGAACAAAAGAAAACGTGTAATTGATTAGTGAGAAAGGGATTTTCAAACTGGATTACCTTTCCACAGGTGAAGCAACGGACTGGTATGATCATCCTCGCTTCTCGAATCTGTCTGCCCTAGTTTCCGAGCTGTAGAAGAAGGTGGCGATATGAGGAAAAAGAGAAGCCTGTTCGCGGGTGAGGATTTAATGAATGATTTGGGCCTTTGACTAAATATCTCTGCGTAATTGGGCCCTTCTGGCCCACATGCTCCTATCCATCGTATATATTTTTTTTTTATTTCTATGGGCCTATGGGTCCAAACCTACACAAGACTTACGACTTTTCTATACTTCTCAGTGGGCCCAATCACGTTGTACCAGTCCAATCGTAAGTTGACCAATCATTATGGCAAATTATACAGTTCTATAGACCACGGTCCAAAATGACGTCGTTAAATTTTATGAGTTAAAATAATGTACATTATGATTTTTTTTTAAATATGTACATCATGAGTTAGAATAATATATTTTATGTGTTAGAATAATATATATTATGTGTTTGAATAATGAAACTTATGAGGTAAGATAATGTACTTTATGAGTTAAAATAATGTAGATCATGTTTTAGAATAATGTACATTATGAATTATAAAAATGTATATTGCAGTGGATCGTGTGGAAAAAAAAATTAATTATGTACAGTTGTGTGAACTACGGTCCACGCAATAACCATCGAATCATTATAATGTGGACTACTGGCATAATTTTTTTTAACATATTAAAAATTCATTTTTATTACATTGAATATTTATCTTTAAATGTTCAATTTTAATATATTCAGGGTTCATTTTTAGATATACTACTTAAAGACATTTATCAGTGGTCCACATACATTATATCATGGACCATGACTACGGCAAATTATGCTATGCGCACCTTGCAAGGTGCGCACGGCGCTAAAACGGCGTCGTTTTCACGGAAAACGACGCTGTTTTAACTAAAAAAAAAAATTTGTTTGAAACGCCGTTAACGGCGTTAACGGCATATTCGTTATGAAATTATGAATATACAGTTATGACATTATGAATGTACAGTTATAGAATTATGAATGTATAGTTATGGAATTATGAACTTACAATTATGAACATAGAGCTTCGAAAATTATGAATGTTCGGTATGGAATTATTAATATACAATATGGAATTATGAATGTTCAGTTATGGAATTATGAATGTACAGTTATGAAATTATGAACATAGAACTCTGACATTATGAACTTACAATTATGAACATAGAGCTTCGAAAATTATGAATTTACAGTTATTGAATTATGAATGTACAGTTACGGAATTATGAATGTACAGTTATAGAATTATGAATGTACAGTTATGAAATTATGAACACAAAGCTGTGAATATATGCTCCTATAACGAAGCGGTCTGAAAAAAAAAAAAAAAAGAGGGAAAATAACGGTGCCTGACAGCACCGTTATCCGTGCCCATGAAGCACGCTGGGCACGAGCCCACAGCATAACTATGCCCATGACTACAATCCACGTTGTAAGATAGACTATTGATAAATGTTTATTTTTAGTATATTAAACATTCATTTTTAATATACTAAAAATTCATTTTAGATAATAAACTAAAAACAAACATTTTTCTATTATGATTTTTTTTTTTTTTTGTTTTAATACGACATCCGTTATCTCCGCACATTATAAAGTTTCAACTTAATTTTGCAATTTTCTCATGTATTTTCAGGATGATGTTAGACAATTTTTATACTCCGTAATAAATATGGTATTATCTAACATCATTAATTAGTTAATTTAAGAGTAACTAATAAATATAAAAAATTATAATATTTGTCAATGAGTTATATATATATATATATATATATATATATATATATATATATATTTTAATGAGAATTAGCATCAAGTGTAATAAGTACTGCATAATAAATTTATATTCAAGGGAGGTTGATGCAATGACAATAAGAGAAGCTCTCAATTGGTTGAAGACCCTCAATCTTAATAAGATCCAAATCGATATCAATTCCCTTCGAGTGGTCTAAAGCTTCAAGTCCAATAGGGAAGATTTTTCATTTCATCTTATTATTATGGATATTAAAAAACGTATGAGTTCTTATTCTCATGTATCTTTAACTTTCTCATTTCTCTGTAACTTTTTGTAAGCGTTCATCGAATCAGGCTGCCCATCTCTTAAATAGGCGGTCTGCTTCAGTGTTTGATTGCTCGGAGTGATTTTCGAACCTTCCCCATATCCTTTGTAATGTTCTTTTGTTTCAGGAAAATAATACGTAATAATAAACTTCTATCCACAGCAGCAGTGAGAGAGAGAGAGAGAGAGAAATCAGAATGGTACCCTTAGTACATCTGATTGAACTTGCCAATGAAATATCAGTATTATCTGTCTGGAGTAACATGGGCATCTGTATATATATAAAAATAATTTTCTTGAGGTGTCAGGATAGGATATGCTGAATGGTTAAACAGAAATATATAACCCAATTATGTTCAGGCATTTTATAGGTATAAATTCCCAAAAAAAAAAAAAAAAAAAATCATTAAACAGATGTGTCTTGGTCTGCATCATCTGAGGCTGAAAAACCATTGCCCTGTTGCTCACCCTCCTCACTGTTTTGTGGTGAGGACTCAGATTTTCTCCTTGCACCTACCCCGCTTCTTCTCCGGGTTTCTGCAAAAATTTTGCGCATAATCAATATCCCAGTTTTGGATGGACAAAAACTTATATCAATAACAATGGTGGATACTGGGATGAGTACTTTTGCTGGTAATTGCGGATCGAGTCATTGCCAAGAACTCGTCCCAGTTGAACTTTCTCAGTTCCTGTTTCTCTTCCTCCGAGAGTTCAAAGTTGGGCTCCCTTCCACACATAAAAGCGGCCCTGTGATCCGTTAATATCACCCGTGTGAGTTATGTACATGTAATGCTGAAAGAAACCAGTCAAGTGGGAGAAGAATATTGTGCAATATGTGTGCACTGTAGGCTGTAACCCCTAGCTTTCTTTTTCTTTTTTAGTGAAAACCACGAGGTGGTCCAAGTTTTTCTCTGATCTGTCCGTTTAACGGTCCAGGTCTACCCGATAATTTCCCGTTCGCTCCGGGAAGCACGGGAGCTGGTCCAAAGGGAATCGCCACTTGTGAGAATCGAACCCGGGTTATCCCGAAATTCTCCGCCACAAAGAGGGCTCATTTGCCACAAAGGTAGCCCGTAGCTTTCTAATCTAAGAAAAACTCGGGTACTTGCATGGTAGAAGCTCGATTTAAGAACGTGAAGATTAAACACAAATGGGTTGCGGGTATATAAGCAAAGGGGTTGTGGGCGAAGGGAGGATAATCTAACGAGGATATTTCAAATTGCAACAGTACCTGTCATACAATCTGGCAGCTTCTTCTTGCGAGCCAACGGTTCCCAAGTGAATTTGTTTTTTATCGACTTTTATTGCTGCTTGCCACTTCATGTTCTTGAAATAGACCCCTCTCATCAAGCACGGTTCTTGGTTGTCAAAGTGTTTCCTCCTATGCCATTTTCTGCGCTTAACTTCTAGAACAACAGCAATGTATATACTTCAATTTAAATTTTAAAACCACAAGCAGCTGATTTGGAAAGCACTGTTATTTTTCATGCATAAATAATCCTTCGTTATATAATCCAGCAATAGATATTCATAGTTCTTCCGATTTAACCAATCTTTAACTGATTTCAATGTTTCTGGTTAAGTTTTCCTCTGTTGCCAGCCATATCTTTTAACCCCTTCGAAACAAATAAGATTTCACTCGGAAAAAGCAATGTGGGTCAGAAACTCAAAAAATTCATTGTAGTCGTGTATACATATAACAAACATCATGAAAATACACAACAAAAATCAATCGGGAGCACAACAATAAACAAAGAAGAACAAACCTGGGAATTTTGCGTTTTCCTGCTCTTTCGAAGGCGGGGAGGCTGAAAAACTAGATGTTCCAAGAGCTGTAGTTTCCTAAGGAAGAAAAGAATAATGGATCAAACTTGGGATACACATTAAAACTTAACCGTGTAGATATCACAAAAATGAAAAAACCGAACAAAGTCCTGCATGAATTGACGTCTCTCGTTAACTAAAACTTGCAAATTTCAAACCTAGGTTGTTTTTTAAGGTGGCTATCTTTCCAAGCCTATAATAAAATTCTCAAACTCGACTAGAGCCATGTTATACGTCTAGATTATTGCTTCTAGTTGTTGAATTTATCCAATTTAACTCCAAAAGCAAGGGAGACGAATGACCAAATCCAATAACTTCTAGATGAAGCATTTTAAATTTCAAGAAGGATTTACTTCGAGCCTCTGTAGCTTGTGCAAAACAAACAAATTCAGTCACCCTTACTGATAAGGCAATTGAATATGACATATGCCAACAAATCCCTTGATAAAGGGCACAACGAGTGAAGAACTATGAACCTTACGTCACGGGAAAGAACTAATAAAAGAACTAAAAACCCCGTGCTTACCTCCTTCAGCTGGTCAACGTCCATTGAAGGCTTGGAAAAGACACTACCGACTGGCTTTGTATTCTGCATATAGTTCCCAGGCATGCTTCCATTCTCGGGAAACTTTGGAAATGGAACAATGAACGAACTTCGCCCTTCAAAACCAATTTCTTTATCAAGAATTCGAATCTGTACATCTCGCATAATTTATTATGTAAAATTCAAGATTTTCGTAGGACACTGAAAGACAAACAAGACACTTTTAAGTCCACGAGTAACCAGATAAATTAAATCACAAAATGGGTAAATAATCTCGCGTAAACCTACTCAAACCAAACACTAGGATCATCAACCGACGGGTATTGAACTTAACATACCAGAACAAAGTCCAAGGAGTCTACGCCTTCGAAGGCTCACCATATGTCCTCTTCAGTTATACCTAGGAAACAAAACAACCATAATACAGTCACAGCCTTGAATTAATACGAAACAAAAACCCAGAAAGAGAAGATTTCATAAGAACGAGCCAACTGCAGAAAGGTCAAAATCTCGAGGGAATGAAGAAGAAGAAGACAAAGAAATGCTCTGTTTAAGGTACTTCCATAAAAGGGCAGACCACAGGTGTAATGCGCCCTTAAGTAGCAGGAATCAGCAAAGAATATAGTGATGCAAGATTGCATTATTGAAACCACACAGATAAGGGAAACAAGACACGAAATATTCAGCTCATTTACTTCAGTCACCTCCAAGTTTGGTATACATCAACCCGAGAATTATGCCAATTACTTGACTAATTCCTATCCGTTCTGCCCACGAGCAAAATCATCTACTAGACATTACTATAACAGAAACCACATATCACTTGAGGTCGAACAAGGTAACATATTTAGAACTGACGAGAGCCCTACATTTTAAAACACATTTTTATGGAAATATATTTTCTACAAAGATCCAATTAGGTAAAAGTTAGGTAAACTATGCAGTATCGATTCGTGCTCAGACTCCTAACTTCAACTTTCGTGCTCAGGCTCCTAACTTCAACTCCTACCATTGAATCCCGAGCAGAACACCTTTCCACAATGCCGAGGTTTTAACCATAGCCATCACTTCATAAAGAGATCACATCCTAAAATAAAACAAATCCTTCCATATTCCATCTTAAGTAATTACTTAACTTGAAACAATGTGCCAAACTGTAAGGCCAAGAATAAACACAAAACTCCATGGATTAACAACAATTGAGCATCAAACAATCACAAACAGTGGACACTAAACTTATGGCTCAGTAGAATTTCACAGAGAGAAAGGGGAAACAATTGTGTATACTATTGAAGCAATAAGACCAAGGTGACAAACTAAAAGTCTAACCCCCCATCCAAGCAGAGAAGGTGGGGCTTTGGACGAGATAAATGGTGATGGGCATAATCATTATCAAAAGAGGAAGCTTTACAAATCTAATCAAGTAAGCGCAGCAGAAATAGAGAGTGAAGAAATAAGCACCCAAATCATTGTTTGTTTTAAAGATTGGGGAAGTCTATCTCCTTGGAGAAGAAGTCAACTCCATCAACCTACCACCTTTCATGGATGCACAAAGGAAAAGGCAAAAACCCATCAACAAAGCAAAGCCCAGAGGCAAAATACCCAAGCAAACAAAAGGGAAAATCCAAAAAACAAAAAAACAAAAAACAACCCAATATAACCCGCATGTCAAACTAGCAAATTATCGTCATCAAAACCAATGCCAGAGGGGAGAAACTCAGCGCGAGCAAACCAAAACCAGACGGGGCGCCCAAATTAGAAAAAATATAAAAAACTCAACACGAAGAAACATCAGTAAAAGCCCATAATGAGTCGTGAAAAGAGGCTTAAGCGGATATACCTCGCCGGGAAGACAAGAAAAAGGGGGTGGTGGGTTGATGGGGACGTGGCAACCGAGGCAAAGGTACAATCAGAGTCGATGTGGTGGTTGTGGGTGGCGGAGGTGGTGGTGGGTTGGAATTGAAGGTGGTGAGAGATGAAGGGATTAGAGAGAGAAAGGGAGAGAAAGAGAGAGAGAGAGAGGATTGTAGTTGTTGTTACTCATGCATCTACCACCTTTTGTTTTATTTCTACTCTCATTATGTCTTTGTTTTTTGGGGGAGAGAGGGTGGTGGTGACCGCTGCTGTCAAGGTGGGTGGGTGGGTGGGTGGGGTGGGGTTGAATAAGAGACGAGCAACCGTATGCTTCCTTGGTTGTACCTTGATTTAGCCTGACCGAAATACCCTTCCCTTTCCTTTTTATTCACAATTCAACTCCCCTCGCCGCTATCTTTTACCCTCTTTGGGCCTATGGATTTTCACTCTCTTAATTCTTAGCAAATCTTTCACTTCATACCCCTACTTCAATATCAAAACTTCACTTCCAAATCAAACCAGTCTAAATTAGTTGATTTGATCGATCACCTTAAAATCTTACGAACTCCACCTGCCACAATATCAGGATTCAAATCCCAATGGATGTGAACCCGTTCCTTCCCATAATTAAAGTCAATATTTAAAAACACAATTCGAGTTCAATCTATATTACTCACATAATGTTAGGGATACCCGTTATTACTATATGTTTTATTAACCCCCAAAAAATATTTACTTTGGTATAGGGTATTGTTCAAATCTCGAATTCAAATTTTGTAAATGAAGTACTAAGTGTTTGAAAAAAAAAAAAAAACTTTAAATAAAATTTAATAAAAATTTGAATTCAAAATTAACTATAATGTAAAAAATGTTTAGCAGTTATATAAAAATAAAAAAATAAAAAAAACCTTTTTTTTTATCATTCTTACATAAATATATACTCCGTATTAAATATGATCACATTTATAGTTAATGCCTCTTATACTATCCACCATTTTAGACCTAACAATTTGATCCATTAGTGAGTCAACATGTATTGTCCCCTTTAGATATATAAAATCTCATTTTCATTTTGCACTTTATTTTTATTATTCTCCATTTATTGGCCATGGCAAAATTAGAGTTTAACCATTATATACCATTAAGTAATAATTGTGAGTTTTTCTTTTACCCACAAAAACAAAAACAAAAAAAAAAAACAAAAAAAAAAGATATATAATTTAATGTCACATATTTCAAACATGTAATCAAATTTAATTTCATTATTTAGTTTTGCGAACACAACGCATATTAATCTATCAAACATACAATTATTATCTTAAATCTGCAAGTGTGCTCGTCATCCTTTACCTACTCTACACCTTACACATTGCATGACTTAGTCACATTTCTTGCTTCATTATCCTTTTACCCCGGAGTAAGATTTACCGAATATATACTCTCAAATAATAATTATGAATTTTCTCATCACCCAAAAAAAAAAAAAAAAAAAAAAAAAAAAGGTTCCTACAAGTATAAAGCAAATTCAATCAATGTCAAATTTAACTTGATTAACTTAACAAGATACGAGTTAATGTTCAATTCAAATTCCATTACGTTTTACAATATCGAATTTGATATATATAGTATTTTTCATGCTACTATGCTCACAATGATAGTGAGCATTGATTGTCACATCAACTGGCGAGAATAGCATGGTATGCTTAATTGCACTAAGTACTATTTTTTATATTTAATATAAGTATTTTTTAAGGTGCAGACCAGGCGACCATCATGGATATAATCTGTATCAGGTTCAACTATACATCAGTGATAATAGTACCAAATGCAACTCAAATAATATACTCATATTGTCTTGTTTTAAATTAAATGTCTTGTATATTATTCATTGGTTAAACAATTTTTTTCTTCGCTTATTTTCTTTAACATTTCCTTATAATTTCAGATTTTGGCTTTTTGTGTGTGATTGTACTTTGGATGTAGTTTATAAATATACAAATTTTGGTAAGGAAGATATACACAAAAATTGCATGTATTATTTGTACAAAGTATGCAAAAGCAAAAAGAATTTGGACTAATAATGAGAAGCTTTAAAGTGTCACCTTGACTTTGCCACGTCAACCTTTGCATATAATTATATATTAATTTTTTTGTGTGCAAACATAATACATGTAGAAAACAACATTTTAAAATTTTTGCAATCAAAGTCATAGATTTTTTAGAACATAATAGTATTAAAATCTATTAAAATAAAAATTACTTCGAAATTATCTAAATGAAAATGTAAACTAAACCTCCAAATTGAGCAAATAATGTAATAGAATTCAAATGCTACCTATTCAACAAGTTGTTGATGATTTGATACTAATTTGATTTTCATATGTAATATTTTTAGAGACCACGATGATTTGATCAAACATATAAAATAAATTGAACAACTTTAAACAAAACAAACAAAAAGAAAAATAAACAATAAATAAAAGCAGGTAAAAAATGTGGTCAATTGTTTTTGTTTTCAAATTTTATTTATATGTTAACGTTATAATTAAATTTTATGATTTTTATAATTATATGCTTTGATCAAATTTTATAATTTAAAAACTAAGTGTTGTTATTTTTTGTGAATAATTATCATATTAACTTTACCTCTCTTTTTTTACTTCTAAAAATACATTATAATATAGTAAGACAGCAAGACCAAAAAGATAATTCAAAAGTATCATCTACTCCTTTAAATAAGAAAAATGTATTTTTTTTTTTTTTGGGAATTTTTTTGAAAGGGCAGGTTATCAGGAGTCAAGACCTACCACTTTAAACAAAATAATTATTATTTTTACTCATAAGCTATCAATTTTCAAAAGTTTCAAATAGAGTATTAAAAGGGAAAAATAAATATGTATTCAACTACCGATATTGAAATATTTGAAATAGAGGTTCCCCTTAATAAATTACTACGGAGTACTTCTTAACTTTCATAAATGACTTATCATTATTCTATTATATTTTGTAACAGTTAATTACTATTATTGGGGATAATATACATGAGCGACAGCGGATTCATGTCAAACCCTAAACTACACCCAAATCCCTATGTAGCCTAACGAGGAAGGGAGGTATAACTTGAGACTATACCCCTCTGTCACCTCTAAGGGCATCCTCAATCGTGTGAAGATTTTGAGGAGATTTTACAGGTGTGATTAAGAAAGAGAAAATGGGAGAGAGAAAAAAAAAACTAAAAACTGAAAATAAAATAAATAAAGAATTTCGTGCCCAGGCAGGCGCGAGAATAGCGCCTCACACGTGAGGCGCAACTCTCCTTCTCCTTGGTGGGACCCACTCACTTGCAAAATTTTCATTTTTGCAGCAAAATTTTCATTTTTGCAGGACAACCCCATCCCCCTCTCTCTCCTCTACCTTGTCATTTTCCCCTCAAAATATGTGCAAAATTTTCTTGTTGGGGATGCCCTAAATGACAATGGTTATAGGAAGATGGAGCATAGAGTGTGATTTCTAGATTTGTCGAAACGGGTTGCGGAACGGCGCCCGTCAGGACTCACCAAAACCCGTCATATGGCGGGTGTGGGATAAAAAGCCAACCAAAATACGGGCCTAAAATAGTCCGCCCCGCATTGGGCCCACCAAATTTAAAAAGTTTTAAATTTAAATAATGCATTTGTAAGCTATAAAATTAATGTGTATACTAAAATAATTTGAATAGTTTTTTTTTTTTTTGAGTGCTACTGACTCTATTATTAAAATAATTTGAATAGTTTAAACATATATTAATGCATTTATAATTTATTGAACAGAATAATAACTATTATAGTAATAATAAGTCCTAATAAATAATCAAATACATAATATGTGAATGAGTGAATCTATAAGACAATAACAAATAATTTATATAATGTACTACTTACTAATACATTTTTAATATAAGTAAATAAATTAACATATATATATATATATATATATATATATATATATATATATATATATATATATATATATATATATATATATATATATATATATAAAATGATGTATATATACACTAATTTTAATAATGTATACATACTAGGCGTGCTTGGCAGGGCCCACCGCCACACCAAAGCCTACCATTTTGGCGGGGGAAGGCTAAAAAACCTGCCAAAATACGAACCATAAAATTCAAAGCTCGCACCACCTTTTTGGCAAGACAGGACAGGCTAAATTCACTTTGACAGCTCTAGTGATTTCAGAAGTGATAGTTGGCTTGTTGTGTATCAGTCCAGCTAGGTCATGAAGAAACCTAATGAGGATATCAACTCCCTTGAGACAATGACTCCATTTTATTTTCTCCCCTATCTAAGAAACTCTACTCATTGTATTCATGGTGACTCTCAAGTCATTCATATAATCATTGGCCTTATGGCAATCATTGATCGTTATTGTCTTATATTGATAACCTTGGGTACTAAAACCAAACCAATGTATAGACTATTTCTATTGTATCTTCTTATATATATAAGTTACTTATGAAGTGGTTAACCAATTGTGAAATGATGTAATATTAGAGCTAAAATTAGAAGATAAAAAATATCATATTTATTTTTTAAAAATATATTATAAAGTTTATTGGACTCAAATTCGCTCAATGAGTCAGTGTTATTATAAAGAGCGTGTGTGTGCACGTGCATATATATTTCAATTTTCTAATTTTTCTTTCTCCTTTTTAAATTCTTTAACTTCTCATTCTTAGTTCTCTGTTTTTCAAATTGGAGAAGCGTACAAGCGAACTTGTTTCACATTTTCCTTTACTGATAATTCCATTTCTAAAAAAAAAAAAAAAAAAAAAAAGAGGAGAATATTTTCCAAAATTAGTGGTTAAGTGGGTAGAGTATACTCTCGTACTTAAACGTTTCTAGTTTGATTCTTACCATCACCTTCTAGATTGAGT